TTTAATATTAAACTTACCTTTATAAAATAAACTTTGTATGTAATCATCAAAATAAACGTCTACTTGTTTAACCTGGGTGAGAATTGGTGAAAGTTTATTCATTAATTGATTTACAGTCACGAATTTTGATTCACTCATTTCTTACGAATTAAAAAAATAAATTATTCAAAAATGTAAGACATGAATTTTTAAAGTTTATTTTTCATTCATGAAAATAATTATTTCTAATTTCTTTTACTCTCTCGTATATACTAGATTTAAAGAATTCAGAACATTTCCCATAATCTCCTAAATGTTTTCTTATCCCTAACGTGTGCCAGTTATTATATGAAACTGAATAAACTTTATCTTTATCTTTGCATCTTTCATCACTTCCAATATATTTATATCTCAGTTTTGATTTAGCATTTTCATATTCATTAGCGTTTAATAATTCACAGTCTTCCTTTTTAAATTGATGTTTAAGATATTCAGGATTTAATACTCTACGTTTATATGCTCCTAACTTAGTTCTAAAGGTTTTTCTACAAAATTTAGGAATTCCATCCTCTTTAATGTCATCAATGATTTCCATTTCATTATTTTCAATTTCTTCTTCTCGTTTATGAGGTCTTTGATTATGACTCCATTGATTCCATGAAATTAAATATTCTTTATCATTATATTTATACCTCATTAGCTTATTTTGGCTTTCATATTCATTTAATAATTCACAGTCTTCCTTTTTAAATTGAAGTTTAACCCATTCAGGATTTAAACAATGTTTAATTAATCGCGGAATATCTGACATCATCTATATATAGCTTCTTTTATAAAAGATAAAAAAATAAATTATTTTAAAATTAATGTTAATTTTTTAATGATTTATAAATAAATATATTTTAATGCATCGTCTATATATAGATGTAGCAAAAAAAGTCACACAACCCTTCATATCCTACTACTATATTTTTGCTATCGGTTTCGCAATTTTGACACAATAGCAAGAGGGTTCTATAAGCATTATTATCAACGTAGAATCTGAATATCATATCAGAAAATGTCGCAAATCTGACATCTACCCGACCAAATAGCAAAAATAATTGAATACTTTTCGCAAAAACTTTAAAAATCGATAAAAATATGAAATATAGATATTAAAGAGACTTTTTATATAATATTAAAAAAAAAAAAAAAAAAAAAAAAAAAAAGGAAGTGGGGCTTCCAGGCACTTCGTGCCTTCTAGCCCTGAAGATGTTTAGTATAAATGAAGTCTTAGAGGACAAACATGACTATGAGTTTTGATATGACAAGATAGAATATGAGAGAGGTCCTATAAACCGGAGAAAGTGTTATATAAACATCTGTCATATTACTCAGAATATTATACAGAATTCAATAAAAATATATTTTAGGTGAAGAGGTGAGATTTCACCTGTTTTTTCACCTCATTTTTCACCTCTTGAATTTTCATGAATTTCATCGTAAAGACTTTGTCAAGATTTCATCGTAAAGACTTTGTCAAGATTTCATCGTAAAGACTTTGTCAAAACTTCATCGTAAAGACTTTGTCAAAACTTCATCGTAAAGACTTTGTCAAAACTTCATCGTAAAGACTTTGTCAAGATTTCTTCGTAAAGACTTTGTCAAGATTTCTTCGTAAAGACTTTGTCAAAACTTCATCGTAATGAGCGTAAATCAGACAAAAATATATTTTAGGGTAGAAGGGTATATCTACCCCGTTTTCTACCCTCTTTTCTACCCCATATGTACTTACTGAAAAAGTATGTGTTCCATCTGTCATTTTACTCAGAATTTTACACCAAAAATAATGTTTAGGTGAAGAGGTGAGATTTCACCTGTTTTTTCACCTAATTTTTCACCTCGTGAATTTTCATGAATTTTACACCAAAAATAATGTTTAGGTGAAGAGGTGAGATTTCACCTGTTTTTTTCACCTAATTTTTCACCTCGTGAATTTTCATGAATTTTACACCAAAAATAATGTTTAGGTGAAGAGGTGAGATTTCACCTGTTTTTTCACCTAATTTTTCACCCTCTTGAATTTTCATGAATTTTACACCAAAAATAATGTTTAGGTGAAGAGGTGAGATTTCACCTGTTTTTTCACCTAATTTTTCACCCTCTTGAATTTTCATGAAATTTACACCAAAAATATACTACTAGGGTCATTTACGAAGAAATCTCAACAAAGTCTTTACGATGAAATCTCAACAAAACATAGACAAGAAAGTTCATGAGAAATTAGATGAAGAAGTCTTAACAAAGTCTTTACGAAGAAATTCATGAAAATTCAAGAGGTGAGAAATGAGGTGAAAAAAGAGGTGAAATCTCACCTCTTCACCTAAAATATATTTTTGGGTCATTTACGAAGAAATCTCAACAAAGTCTTTACGAAGAAATCTCAACAAAGTCTTTACGAAGAAGTCACAATAAAGTCTTTACGAAGAAGTCACAATAAACATCTGTCAAAAAACCGCTTTTTAACTTCACTTAAAATGCCACGTAAGCTACGTAAGAATATACGTAAGAGGAAGAGAGCATTGAAACATCCAATAGTAAAACTGACACCACAACAACAGTTGCAACAACAAATTATGAATGACCCCACTATGTTGCAACAAATGTCAAGCAATCCTATGCTTTTAAACCGAGTTATTGGTGCACAGAGTGGAGGTTTAAGAGCGGCACTTTTAGCGAAAATGGCAGGCTATGGTGGAGCCGCAGACGGAACAGCTTATAACCCTCAAAGTCAAATGAATTTGAGTTCACTCAAAAATCAAATAACAGATGTCAAAAAGTCAAACATAGACATACAGAAACAAATAAGTGAAAACGAAAAGAAACTAGAATATGACAGACACACAAAGAAACTCAATGAGTTAAACGTAGAGAAAAAGAAGAAAGAAGAACAACTGAAAGAACTAAGTACAGAGGAATATGCGAAAAAAGTGTCAGAAAAAGCAGCAGAAGTAGCAAAAATGGAACAAGATGTTATAAATTTGAAAAACCATACTACTCAATATAAAGTACTGAAAGATGAAGAAATAAAACAAAAAGCCCTGAAGACATATATGGATAGCGATGAGTATAAAAAAGAAGTTGAAGCAAATGTAAAGGCAGAAAAACTTTTACAGTTGCAAAACCAAACCGTACAGTATGAAAACTTAGCACAAGAAAGTAAAAATAACGACGCAGCCATGCAAAAGGCAATGAAAAGCGCAGAATATATAAAAGCTAACAATGACTGGTTAGATGCCCAAGCCAACGCTAAAGCAGCCCAACTTATAGGGTCAATAAGGACAAAAATACAAGCGGATGAAGATAGTTCAAATGAAGCTTTAACAAATGCTGACTTTAAGAACGCTTTCGAAGCTCTTCATAGTAAGGTGAAACAAGTGAACGACTTCTCATCTGGAAAGAAACTGAAGTCTGAAGGTTTCGACAAAGAGTTAAAAGAAGTAGCACAAAATATGACGAAAATAACAGATGCAGCAACGAGACAGGCAGTTCAAAGTGCCTATGACGCCGTTAGAGCAACTGTTGTGAAAAGTCAAGAAAAAGAGTTACAACAGACCAAAACAGACCTAGTAAATGCTTTCTTAAGAACGAAAAGTCAGGTAGGACATTATGCTGCAGATGGAACATATGTGCCAGCTGGTGGAACTTATATACCACCAAACCCTCCAAGAGAAGCACCTGCACCAGGACTACCTAAAACATTTACATCGTCACATGGACACAGACACAGGCATGCACAACAACCAGCACAACAACCACCTCCACAACCAGCACAACAACCAACACAACAACCAGCACAGCAACCAACAGTTCAAAACCCTGCACAACAACAACCACAAACAGAGCAAGGACATAAAAGAAGTAGAGAACAAGGAAACCAAGAATTCTTAAAAATGCTTAAAGAAGAGTGTGGTTTCCCAGATACTGTTGACTTTAGTGACAGATATAAAGAAGCTATTAGAAAGTTCAAGGATGGAAATACTGACCCGAACCTATTTAGCTTTATGGTTCAGCACCAAATGGGATATAATTTCAAACCTGGAAAATACAAGCTCGCTAAGGGATATGATTTAATAGCATATCATCCAAATGACATGGATGAATTTACTCCGAGATATTTGATGTCAGAGATAAATGATAATTCAACTATCTTCATGAAACGCGTAAAAAATAGAGACGGAACGAAAGAAGAAAGGTTTATGAGTCCGGATGGCTTAAATAGGGAACTTGTTAAAAACGGTCTCGGAATATATGAAATGCCAGCAGATGAGGTACAAGAAACTCCACAGGAAGAAGTTCAGATACAACCAGACATGGAAGAAATAGTTCAGCAACAACAGCTAGAAGAGCCTGAAGGAAACGAACAAATCCTTCCTTTGGAAACTAACTTCACAGAACTAGATGAAGATTTGGAACAGCCGAAAAATCTTGACCCTCAACAAGAGTATGCGGAGAATATGGAATATTTCCAAGAGTCTAAAAAAAATTCGGCTGACATAGTAGAAGAATATCGAAAAATGTTTGCCGACATACAAAAGACTCCAACATCAGATGAAAATATCCAGCATAGAATGGAAGAACTGAAAAAAAATGTACACAAATACAACAACCCTTTTTACTTACGAGCATTTAACGTTCAATCTTCGGATGAACTCGGTGAAAATAAAAGGTTAAATTTCAAGAAAACATATAGAAATGAAACATTGTTTAAAGTTCATTCAGAACCTAACCAAGATGGAAACAAACCTACTTTTGTTTCTGCAGACGATGGAACTACAATGAGATGGGGTCATAAAGCTAATCCGGATAGGTGGTTCATAAACTTACAACCACAATTCCAAGAAGTTGTAGACGCAATGGAAGTCAATGGTGAACCAGATATAGCTGGTATTTTCAGCGCGGCTTTAATGCCATTGAAAGATATGAAAGATGCAGATATTTTGGACCAGTATGAAATGAACATGGCTGATGGAAATATAACACCTGACGTTCTAGAACATTTATCTCAAAGAACTACACAGAACCATAAAGATGGTATATTTGGTGAAGAGTTTAGAAAGAAAGTTAGGGAGATAGAAGGAAGAGAACCTATTGTACATGACCTTGCAAACGAAAGTTTACAAAATGTCATAAAAACTTACTTTGCAGACAATGAACTGAGAAGGGATGAATATTTAAGAAAACTCAAATGGACAGTACCAAATGAAATGTTAGTATTGAAAAACATGTTCCTTGACAAAATAAAACCAACTACAGAAATAAATGACGCAAGACTGAAACATTGGGTAAAAGCTTTCCCATTCACAAAAGATATTATTGGTAACATGGAAAGAAAACCAGAATGGCTACAAAAACATATATTTGGAAACGAGCATATTCCATATGGACAAGCTATATTTGAAGAGCTTGAACCGGAAACTCAGGAAAGAGTCATGCAAACAATACGCGAAGACTCAAATACAAACTATGACAAAATCTTTCTAGGATATAGGTTACCTGAGATGGGCGACCAGAGCCCAAAGGCAAAAAGGACATGGGAAATTTACAACATACTAGGTGAACATGAGGCAAAGATGCAACAACTTGAAGCAGAGGGCAAGTTACCAAAAGCGACACCAAAGAAGAAGAGTAGAACAAAGTGAAAGTAGTGAAGAAGTAACTTCATCTAGTGAAAGTAGTGGCAATGAAGGAAAAAGAAGAGTTAAAAACTCAGTCAGGAAGAAAGTAAAGCTTGGTACGAAACAATTATGACACATAAATCCAACTATTCTATATTTTTACCCATATGAAATGTACGCCGCTCAGAATATAACGCCAACAGTTTTGGATGCCATGAATGGAAATGTTTCCGAATGGTATAACGAATGCGACAATGCCATTAGAAGGTCAGAAATAGTTCCTGGAACTTACGAATATACAACTGCTGTTTCTTATGGAAATGTAGGTGAGTTTGGAGAAGGTTCTTCAACAACAGTAGATATTGCTTGCGACAGGTTTCATATAATTTCTATTGACAACTCATTCTTATACGTGGAACAAGACATTGAAATAAAACCTTCTGCCAAGTTGTCTGACAAGAAAGGTTGCAATGGAATTTTCTATGTCGGATACCAATATGCTCCAGAAGTTTTCATGGGATATAAGATATATTCTAACTCTGACTTAGTTCAAACAGTAACATGGGCAAACTATGAATGGTTCGCTTTGAGAAACTCAGTACAACCACAAGCTAGAGAACAAACAGACCAGTATGCAACTATTGAGAAAATAAGAAGACTTGACCCTAACGTTCCAGGAGTTTATGTTAACCTTTCTGGTTCAGATGGAAATGCTGTCACTAAAGTAAAACTGAAACTTAGAGTTCCTTTGTCATCTTTCCTCATCTTCAGGTTTTTAAGATACTTGCCAAACTGGGCAGGAAAAATTTCTATTGAACTTACTCCAAGCAAAAATAACTTAGTCATTGCACCAACACAAGACCCATTCACTCTTACAGAAGTAGTGGGAACAAATAAAATGTCATTCGCCGACTTTTGCAAAGACAAAGTTGACTTAGACTTTGGTTTCTCAAACCTCAACACTGAAGTAAACTACTACTTCAATGCTGCTGGAACTGCTTGGGACCCAGTTAAGTTCACATGCGAAAAATTTGAATGCAAGAGAATAGAAAAGCAGACTTGCAGTCTATATGTTGGACCCAGATATTTCAAATGCTTTAGCTGCCAAATATATTGCAGTTCCACTTATGTTCCCTATACACCAAATATCTGTCAAAGACTTTGCAGGTGAAGTTGGAAACCAAAGTGCTGACCCAGGTGCAAGAACAGATATTGCTTTAACAACTGCAATGAAACATGCAGATACTATGTTTGTACTGTTCAGACGAACTATAAATGACTATTCTTGTTTCTACAACCCCGGTATTAAATATCATATAAACATAGATGGCAAAATATTATCCAAGAGAAGAATATTCTACAGTTGAGGATATGAGGTCATACAACTTGACATTAGATGCTATGAACTTTAACAACAATTTCACAACAACCATTAACCCTGAAATGCAAAGTTCTATTATGCCATATGTGAAAGTATGGACTCATACAGGAGGTCAAAAAACTCAATATACAAATGGAGACCGTTCAAACTTTTGGCTTGGCATTCCATTTGCTGACTCAGAAGACTTTATGGGTGGTATTTCAACTGTTGGTACTGTACAAATACAATATACTGGTGACAGAGACGGTCCAGATGAATTGAAAGCAAAGAAGTTTACAAAACCAATAGCACTTTTTCACGGAAGATGCTCTTTTGAAGATTCGTTCGATGAAACCTGCTGGGGCTCCTCAGATTGGCATAACGACAGCTTCCATCGAGCAGATTTTGGCAGCAGGTCAGTAAGTTGTTCTTGAACTGACTTCTCTCCGTCAAATATTGACAGTACGCCAGTTTTGACATAATATTGTAAGATAAACTTACCTTTAGAAATATCTGTAAGTTTTGAAGTTATATTTTTGTCTGCTTCAAGAACTTTCACCATTTCAGTTATACCAACTTTCTTTGCTTTATGGAAATATTTTGGTTCAGCAAATATTGCTATTCTATAACATTTACCATTGTTTGTATAAAGAACTATTCTGTCAATGTATTTGTATTGTTTGTGTGTGTAAACTTTGTTCTGCTTCAATTCGAAGAGATACTCGAATACGTCCATCTTTTTATTCTAAGTAAAATGTCATTTCCGAAAAATAGAAGCGTGAGTGTTTCAAAAGGTTTAATGGCGGTGGCAGATGTGAAGTTAAATTCACCAACTCAAACAAACAGTCAAAGTGTTGTTGTCAATGTCAAAGACAGAGATGTTGAAGTGGGGAAACCATACGAAGACGAAGATGGTATAACAATTGTTCCTGTAAAAGAACAACCAACATATCCTGAAGTTAGCAGAGACTTAAGTTCTGTTGCAGATATTCGAAACGACTACCAACAACTGAAAGACAAACTTCAAACTCAGGAGAAGATTTGTCAAGCTTTAGGTATAATGTTAAACTTGGTCGAACACAACCCTGTAAAAGTGAACTCATATGTCATTGCACCTCATGAAGTTTTGAAAGAACTATTGAAACTTTTGACAGAGGCAGACGATATAAACATCAAAGAAATAGAACCCGACATTAGTTGCTGTGGTGTTTCATATAATGTCATTGACAAGATATACGTTATGAAAGGAGGTGAAACGTTGAACTTAAAGTATAGTTTCCCAGACGTCATAAAAATATTTGACGACCACAACATTTCATTAAAATTTATTTGCTAAGTAAATGGCAGAAGATATAATGGTTTATACTATTACGACTAAAAACCCTGAGTCATATAATTCTATAACAACAAACTTACAAAGTCCTCAAGGACGGTATTGTAAACTAACTTTAAACACAATGACGACTAAAGCCTGTTTTGCTCTTTTGACACCAGAAGACTTTATTGTTGTGAATGGTAAAAAATACTCCTTTGAAGATACTTACTCAGATATACCACCAACAGGTTTTGTTGACTTATTTAATACTTTAAGTACGGGTGTAACATGTGCTGCAACTAGAGCAGGTTTCATTATGTTTGGATGTCCGACTGAGTTTACTATAAACGATATGAGCTATAATACAAAACTTATTTCTGGTTTTTACTACCAACAGTTTCCTATAACAGGAAAAGGTGTCATACAAGGAATGTCTATTCCATTGACATTAAGCACACCAATCTTATATATTGTTTCAAACTTAGGTTCAAAGTGTTATTCGAATGTCGACAGAAACTATTATGACCAAAAGATACTTATGCGTATAAACAATACTTTCTCTGCTGGTTTGCCTATTGTTCATTCGAATGCAGAATTTTTCAAACCTTAGTGAACTCAAACACTTTGGCAAGTATAACGTTGACATTAGTTGACGCAAACTTTGTTCCTGTAAAACTTTTATGTCCTATGTATTTGTCAATGACGGCAGAAAGTTTCGAATTGGAAGATGCAACTGGTGAAAGTATTGTATTACAAGAACAACTTCAACAACAAATAGCTCAAGAACAACAAATGCAACAAATGCAACAAATCAACAACAAAGTCAAGAATAAAAAAAAATATTTTTTTTATTTTTATAAAAATGTACAAGATGTTTTCAAAGCCGCGAATGTTTAATAACTACGTCAATTACTCTCAGACTAGTTAGACTATTGTATTGGTAAAATGGTGAGTGATTTATAGACGATTAGTCACAGGCAATAAATGAAGAGGTCGTGTTAGATTTATTGAGACAAAATAAGCTTCGAAGTTGAAAAATGATCTTGATCAATTGTTTATCAACATTAATATTTATGCAAAGAAATACATTTTGATTTAAATGAACATTAATTCTTATACCATTAACTTCTTTTAACTTACAGATGAATACCGTTAGAACCAAACTCGCCTATACAACACCAATAATTATTATATTTTATAAAGTTGACTTTTAAAATAGTAAACGTGATAAAATAATAGGAATTGGAAAGAAATAGGTTAATTAATGAATGAAAATTCATAGTTAAGGTTTAATGAAAGTGACAATGGCAGTTTGTCGATTCGATTGAATTTTTTACTCTTTTCAAAATTCTTCATTTTTATGATTTCGGTGGCCTTAGGGTGAAGCTGATTCGCTTTTTGGGATAAAAGCAGGGAAGTCAAGGCGGTGTCCTCAGAAGAAGAGGAACGGATATCCAAAGCAATATTACTTTTCATCACAGTTGCTACATAAACCTACTGAACAATAAAGGCAGAAATTTAGGGATGAGAGAACGATTTGGAGTGATTTACTGATAAGAAGTATAATGAAGAATCATTGCCATCATATAGGAGTTTGAGGATGGGTTCACATTACGCGGCTAATTATTATCAATAAACTGGAATCGAATTTGATAATTAAAAACGGTGGAAAGCAATTTCTTGCTCAAAAGCATTTTTTGATGAAGTTTGAAATTGATCCGATTACAAAGCAACGATGAAACTTTCGCGCAGTCTACTGATGACTTTAAAAGAAAATTTTATCGGGGCCTTTATTTATGGGGGGAAAATGAGATTTATTGGCACAAGATTATCAAACCGTATCTTAACACTCTTGTGGCACATTTTTGAATTAATTTACAGGAAGTGCCAGATGATCTCGTTCAATTTGATTACAAATGGAGTTTTTCCGAGTTTACAATCATTATGCACCTTTTGCTGCCAAAGAATATTGGTGCATAGCATCTGATTACCTCCACGGAGTCGATTTCCACTCATTCTTTATTAAAGGGAAGACTGATCGCAAATTGTTGATGCGTAAACATTGAAAAAGGAGCTCATACACAATTTTTTTCCCGTTTTGCTATATTTTTAGTGCATCCCTCAACTTGAAAGATTCAAGAATGTTGATGAAATTGTGAGGTTTGCGCCACCTGGATCCACAGCAATAGTGGAGCGTGACATGTGGCTAATCATTGCTGTCGCGCAATATAGAGGGGACTCTGGATTTCCTCTTGCACGCTAGCTCGAAGTATAGGTTATGCATCGTGTGTATTAGGATTTTAGGGTGCGCACTGAGTGCAAAGTGATTGGAGAGCGGTATTTATGACA